TAGATTGTTTACATATCCAAAAGAAGTCTCAATTCTGCTATTTGGCTGCCAGAATTTTATAAGCTAATTAGGAGAAGAAAGGTGATAGAGCCTCAATATTCAATCTATAAACATTGTCTTATTGATAATCAGTGTGAAGCGCCACAGTTTTTGTCTGTTACCTCTGAGGCCAGAGAGACCTCATTTTACTGTCCCCAGAGAGTAAGCTCTAGTCTTCTGGGCTGGAAGAATGGATAATCATTTGCCCAAATAAAAATAAGGAGGGATCAGGAGGCCTGACTGCTTCCCAAACAGGCGTTCAGCCTGTTTTCATATTACCCTTTGTTTCAATTTTGTTACTGTCAGAGCCACCACTCACAGACTTCTGGAGGGGCTGACCATATACATTGTGTTGCTTCTGAGTTTTCCCCCCCATTTCCCTGAGCTTCCTTAGCAGCTAACGGATGAAGTCAGTCACTGATTGTTCACCTGCTTTCCTGCTTTCAAAATTTAGTTGTGATTCCTTCTTCTCCCATCTTAGTCCCTGTGGACTTATACTATTTTAAAAAATCTTTTTATTCTCATTTAGTGGAGTTTCAGGAGACAGTGAAAATAAATGCTTTTGTCTGATTCACCATCTTCAACAAAAAGGGCCATACTTCTGTTTTTCTAATTTCAAAGACATCATCACAGTTTTGTCAACCTTCACTATTACCCTCACTTAATTTCTTTTAAAAATACACTAGAACCCATCTTAACTTAACTTACTTGACATGCCAGGTTAGTGGATGCATTGCATTCCCTCTATAAGATGCATCACCAGGTGCCTTGACACCACTCCTGTCAGTTTGTTGTACTGTGCTGGCTTGTGTGGTGCTCTGATGCTGGGAAGTCCACCACTGGTATTTCAAACGCCAGTAAGATCACCCATGGTGGACACATTTCAGTGGAGCTTTCAGATTTAAGAAAGGCTAGGAAGAAGAACCTGGTAGTCTACTTGTAAAAAAAAAAAAGGCCAATGAAAACCTTATGGATAGCAGTAGAACATTGTCTGATAAAGTACCAGAAGATGAGCCCCTCTGGTTGGAAGGCACTCAAAATACAATTAGAGAAGAGCTGACTCCTCAAAGGAGTTAACCTTCATGATGTAGATGCAGTAAAGTTTTCAGGACTCTCATTTGCTGGTGTGGCATGACTCAAAATGAGAAGAAACAGCTGCAAACAGTCATTAGTCATTAAAACAGGAATGTACAAAGTATGACTCAAGGAAAACTAGAAGTTGTCAAAAATGAAATGGAACTCTTCAAGATAACAGTCCTAGCCATTAGTGAGCTGAAATGGACTGGTATTGGCCATTTTGAATTGGACAGTCATGGAATACTATGCTGAGGGTGACCAGTTGAAGAACGGTATGGCACTCATTGTCAAAAAGAACGTTTCAAGGTCTGTCCTCAAGTACAGTGCTGTCAGTGACAGGATAATATCCAAACTCCTACAAGGAAGATAAGTTAATATTATTATCAAATTTATGTACCGACCACTAAGGTTAAAGATGAAATTGAAGATGTTTACCAACCTCTGCAGTCTGAAATTCACCAAACGTGCAATCACAGTACATTGGTAATTACTGGTGATTAGAATGGGGAAGTTGGAAACTAAAAAGCAGCATTGGTAGCTGGAAAATATGGCCTTGGTGATAGAAACAGTGTTGGAGATCACATAATAAAATTTCCAAGACCAATGACTTATTCATTACAAGTACCTTTTTCAGTAATATAAGCTGATACTGTACACATGGACTTCACTGGATGGAATGCACAGGAATGAAATCGGCTACATGTGTAGAAATAGACAATGGAAAAGCCTAATTTCATCATTCAAAACAATGCCAGAAGCTGATCGTGGTACAGACCATCAGTTGCGCATGTGCAAGTTCAAGTTGAAGCCTGAAGAAAATTAAAACAAGGCTATGAGAGCCTTCAGTGTATCCCACTTGAATTTAGAAACAATTTCAAAAACAGATCTGATCTGATGCATTGAACACTAATGACTGAAGACCAGATGAGTTTTGGGATGACATCAAGGACATCATACGTGAAGAAACCACAAGGTCATTAAATAACAAGAAAGAAAGAAAAGACCAAAATGGATGTCAGAACATACTCTGAAACTTGCTCTTGAATGGAGAGTATCTAAAATGAATGGAAGAAATGATGAAGTAAAAGAGCTGAACAGAAGATTTCAAAGAGTGGCTCGAGAAGACAAAGTAAAGTTTTATAATGAAATGTGCAAAGACTTGGGGTTAGAAAATCCAAAAGGAAGAACATGCTTTTAGTTTTTCTAGCTAAAAGAACTGATGAATAATTCGAGCCTAGAGTTGCAATATTGAAGGATCTACGGGCAAAATACTCAGTGACACAGGAAGCATCATAAAACAGAGTCACCGTGCCAAAAAGAATTTGTTGACATTCAACCATGTCAGGACGTAGCATACGATCAAGAACTGACCGAGATGTGCTGAAAGAATTGGCAAAAAACCAAGGCTCCAGGAATTGATGGAATTTTGATTGAGATGTTTCAGCAAAGGGATGTAGCACTGGAAGTGCTCATTTGTCTATACCAAGAAATTTGGAAGACAGCTACCGACTGGAAGATACCTACATTTGTGCTCACTCCCCAAAAAATCCATGATCCAACAGAATGCAGGCATTATATCATTATATCATACACAAGTAAAATTTTGCTGAAGTAATTGAAAAAGAGTTGCAGCAGTATTTTGACAGGAAACTGCCAGAAATTCAAGCCAGTTTCAAAGAGAACATGGAGTGAGGGATGTCATAGCTAATGTCAGATGAATCTTGGCTGAAGCAGAGAACACCAGGAAGATATTTACCTGTGTTTTATTGACTGTGCAAAAGTTGAATGTGTGGATCATAACAAATTATGGATAACATTGCAAAGATTGGCAATTCCCAACCTTAATTGTGCTAGTGTGGAACCTGTACATGGACTAAGAGGCAGTTGTTCTAACAGAAAAAAGGAATAATGTGTGGTTTAAAATCAGGAAAAGTGTGCATTGTGCACACTTATTCAAATTGTGTGCTGAGTAAATATTCCAAGATACTGGACTATATGAACAGTAACACTGCATCATGATTGGAGGAAGACTTATTAACGTCTTGCAATATGCAGATGACACAACTTTGCTTTCTAAAAGTGAAAAGAATATAAGAATTTACTGATATAGATCAAAGATTACAGTTTTCGGTATAGATTGCACCTGAACATAAAATAAAAATGCTCACAGCTGGACCAATAAGTAAGATCATGATAAACAGAGCAAGCATTGAAGTTGTCAGGGTTTTCATTTTACTTACATACACAATCAACACCCATGGTAGCAGCAGTCAAGAAATCAAACGACATATTGCATTGGGCAAAGATGTCATTTTGAGAATTAAGATGTGTTTGATCCATGTTATGGTACTGCAATGTAGTGAATTACGTAGTGTAGTTTTTCTAGCCATAAATCTTTGTAAACTCCATGGCGGAATTTGCCATGAGCAACTGAGTAGCTCCTGATTGTTAAAGTTATCTACCTGGGGTATTTCTGTTGAGCGTAGTACCAAGTAATTTTCTGGGAAGTTTGTTCTTGCTCAGGTATATAGAATTCTGATGTTGGGATTGGTTAATTGGCCATTCTGTCAGGATCAAAAGGTGCCCTGCTAGAGGCAGAAGGAGTCTATTTGACTGCTGGCTGGGAAAGACATGCTGCTGAGAGAAATGTGCTCCTGAGAGACATGAGAGACACACGCTGCTGATAGAGAAACCTTGAGAGACATGTGCTGCTGAGAGAGACCTCAAGAGACACACGCTACTGAAAGAGGCTGAGAGAGACCTTGAGAGACACACTGCTGAGAGAGACTGAGAGATAGCTGCAAGAAACTGAGTACATTTCTGAACTTGAGTTGTAGCTTGTATCTTCCCTAAGAACCCCCATAATCTGTGAGTTCTGTGTGGCCACTGCAGTGAATTATCAAACCCAACAGAGAGGTGGTGGGTGCTGTGGGAGTAACGGTTGGTGAAACGGCTAGAGGGAAGCAGCATGTCTGGCCTCACAGGAATAGGCCTTGGGCTACTGATGGTGATTCTGTCTTCTTCTTGTAGGGTTAGAGGAGGTCAGAAGATGCAGTCTCCTTGCCCCTTTGGCAGTATTTTCAGTCACTTTATATGTATGAGAAAAGTGGACAGTGAATAAGGAAGAGTGAAGAAGAATTGATGCCTTTGAATTAAATTTTTTGGCAAAGAGTATTGAATATACCATGAACTGCCTGAAGAATGACCAAATCTGTCTTGGAAGAAGTTTAGCTTGAATGCTTCTTAGAAGCGAGGGTGGCGAGACATCGTCTTAGTGTACTTTGGATGTATTGTCCAGAGTGATCCATTCCATGGAGAAGGATGTGGTGTGTGGTAAAGTAGGGGGTCAGGAAAATAGAGGAAGACCCTCAATGAGTTAGATTGACACAATGACTATAATGATAATCTCAAATATAGTAACGATTGTGAGGATGGTGCAGGTCTGGGCAATGTTTTGTTCTTTTGTACTTAGGGTTGGTATGAGTCAAAACTAACTTGATTGCAGCAAACAGCAACAAATTGCCATGAGAGAAGCAGAAAGCTTGTCCTTTGAGTTGTGCACTTGCTAGAGATCAGTTTATTCCAGAAGATTCCAGAAGAAGTTGGAGATTCTAGTTGATACATTATGTGTGTTATATAACAACTGCAGTGAGTCACATCAATGTCTGAATGAGTAAATACAAATTTTAGTTTCAAATATTTATGCTTTGTGAGTATAGTTTTATGTGATTCTATCTCAAGTAAACAACTCCACCCCCAAAAATATTTGGTAACAGCTTGTAAAATAACAGAAACTTTATTAAATCCTATTGGTTAAATAGATGATTCTTGATGTGTGCTGACTTTTCACAAACTTATTTATATGAGTAATTGCTTTTGTTCAGTTCCAGATGTTGAAGTGAAAGGGGAGTGTTGTAGCTATTATTTCTTGTTACAAGGTAGTGGCAATAGAAAATGTAAGGCGACATTGGTTCACTCCGCCAACCAGATCAATGGCTCATTTGCACTCAATTTGATTCTTGGAAAGATGAAATCAAAGACAGAAGAAACCGAACCGAGTAAGTGTTAACTTTAAGTAGAAAAAATTTTTTAGATTTGTTTGTATGTGTAATTAATTTATATGATTTTAAGTGACAGAAATATTAGACATTTGATGAACTTATTTTCCCCACACACCAGGACCCCTCAGTAGATCTACCTTTTATTTTAAATATATTTTGTGATATTTTTTACTAGTCATTGTGCAAAAATTTAATTCCTCTTACATTATGCCTAGTAAAATTTAGTGGGCCAGCTTAGAGCTCAAATATGAAAATTTCATTATTTTCTTCTTTAAGCACATATTTTTCTTTATTTCTTGTTTTTACTTACTTTATCTCAAACTTCTTTTTCTATTTCTTTGCCTATCTTTTTTCTTTTCTCCCCAAACTGAATGTTTTGGTTATTTATCACTGTACAACAAACCACCCCAAATGTAGTGGCTTAAAACAGCAGTGTACTGTTACTGCTCATGGTCCTATGGATTGACTGAGCTCAGATGGATGGTTCAATTTTGAGATCTCCCAGATGACTGCAGTCACGTGGCAGCTGGGACTTGGGTCGTTTGAAGGCTCAGCTTGGCTTGATGTCCAAGATATCTTCTTCACTCACATGCTTGGGACCTGGCCTCGGGTGGCTGAACAGATGAGGGTGGGCTTTCTCGCCATGTGCCCATTGCTTGGAGTTGACTTTAGCTGGCTTCCTCACATCTTGTTCTCAGGTGGTCTGAGATTTCTCACATGATGGCTTCCTTGTGTTAGAGCAGTTGTTCTGGGAGTCAAGGTGGAAGCTGCGAGGCTCTTTATGACCTCGCCTAAGAAGTCATGCAGTGTCACTTTCACTGTACCTTACATAGGCGAGCCCAGATTCATGGTAAAAGGAACTACCCAAGAGTGAGTAGCAGTAGGTATGGTTCTCTGGGGACCACCTTTGGACACTAGCAACTGTATGCCATCTGTGTTTTCTCAAGGGATTTCATTAGCTGAGCAGATTGAGAAAGGGGCAAGAAATCACTCTGCTACCTAAATGTCCTCAATTTAAGAAACAGGTCAAAGTTTAGAGTGCAAAGTAAGTTAGTGTGCTTGTTTTCTGCTGCTTGGTTGTTGTTATTTTACTTTGAGATGTGCAACAGCAAGGGAGGTAACTAACTGGCTGTTTTTTTTCCTTCTTAATGTGAGAAAAAATTTCCTGGGAACTTTGTATTAATATTTCAATATTGACTTTTTCTACTTCTCAGGCTTTCCTTTTGACTTCTTGTCACTTCCACATTTTTCTGGGGAGCAAGTTGTACAAAGAGAGAAACAGTTAGCCCATGTTCAAGCTTTGGCTTTGGAAGAATGTCTGAGTAAGTAACAATTTGTACATTTCATCTCACTGTAAGAACACTGACTTGTTTAGAAATAATACATCTCTATTTTCACTTGTTTATTACACATGTAGTTTTTCTTACAGACTTTGACTTTTAAGTATGCCACTTATTTGTTGAACTGTTTTCATATAGAGATGATATGGAGTAAAAGAGATATACAATTTTTTTTTTTCTTTGTTTGGCCAGGTACAGAATGTTGTTGTTGTTATGTGCCATCAAGTTGGCCCCAACTCATAGTGACCCTTCCTTAGGTTTCCAAGGCGGTATCACTACGGAAATAGATTGCCCAACCTTCCTTCCGAGGAGTGGCTGGTGGGTTTGAACCCCCAGCCTTCTGGTTAGCAGTCAAGTGCTTTAGGCACTAAGCTACCAGAGCTAGGTACAGAATACTTTTTTTTATCTGTATGTCATTCTTAATATTTATACAGATATTTCTCTAGGCAAATTTTGTGCTTCATTATTTTAAATGTGTACTAGAAAATATATTTTATTGTTCTTGTTAGGTAGATGTAGCTAGTTAGATCTCTTCATAAAATTTCTCTTTATAGATAAATTTTGGCAGCAGAGGATAGAGACTGCAAACAGAACAAAGTGCAAGTCCAGAGATAATATTATATTAACTTGAGCAATGATTCTCAGAATTTAATCATGACCATCAGTAATAACTAAGCACATTGCACATATGAGTGAGATTGGCATTAAGGATTTCCTGTATTAAGAAATTGACATTTTTTCAAGGATCGTGGTTTTTTTTTTCTCTTTTACTAAATATGAAATTTTTAAAAAATCTGTTATTAAATACTGGTTACCAGCTTTCCTTTTTTTTTTTCCAAATATATATTAAGCATTAATTTTAATCTAATATGAACTTAAATTTTAAGTGATTAAATGATATAGAATTTCTAAAAACTGAAATTATAAGAACTTAATTTGTTGCATAGAAAATGTTATGGTGAATTATATGGAAATTTGTGTTAGAATTAAGTAGATACATTATAAAACAAACACTGTGTGTGTGTGTGTGTGTGTGTGTTTATACTGGATTTTAATTTTCTTTCTACTTTGTACATTTCATAAGTTCTTTAATGAGCAAACACTGTTGTTCTTGTTAGTGCCTTTGAGTCAGTTCTCGCTCATAGTCACCCTGTGTACAACAGAACGGAGCACTGCATGGTCCTGTGCTATCCTCACAATCATTGCTATGTTTGTTTCCATTGTTGCGGCTATTGTGTCAATCCATCTCATTGAGGGTCTTCCTCTTTTTCATTGACCCTCCTTTATCAAGCATAATATCTTTCTCTGGGACTGGTCCCTTCTGAATAAAACAAACACTATTATTAATTCTTTTTTAAAAGCATTTAAAACATATTTTTAATTCAGCAGCCTGTTTTATTTAATGGAGGATGATTTCATTTCAGAGTACTCGGTTTACTTATTCATGTATAGCTTATCTCCATTTTTAACTGCAAAATTAGGATAATTGTGTAGTCTTCAAAGCTACTGTCTTAATTCTTTAGTGCTGCTATAACAAAAAAATACCACAAGTGGATGGCTTTAACAAACAGAAATTTATTTTCTCACAGTTTAGGAAGCTAAATGTCCGAATTCAGGGTGCTGGCGCTAAGGGAAGGCTTTTTCTGTCAGTTGGCCTTGGACAAGGTCCTTGTCTCTTTGAGCTTCTGCTATTGGGTGATCTTTATTTGACCTGGGATCTCTCTTCCCCCATTCCTGCTTGTTGACTTTTTTAATTTCTTACATCTCGAAAGAGATTGACTCAAGATACACCCTACAGAATCTTGCCTCATTAACACAACAAAGACAACCAGTTCCTAAATGGGATTATAACCACAGCGTACAGTTAGGATTTATAATGCATATTTTTGGGGCATAATTCAATCCATAACATTCTACCCTTTGGCCCCCCAAAATTCATGTCCTTGCCACATGAAGAACTGTTTACCCCATCACATTGTTCCAGAAGTCTTAAATCAACTTCAAGTCCAAAATCTCATCTTTTGAAGCATCTAAATCAAATATGAGTGAACCTTTGTGCATATTCCATCCTGGAACAAAATTCCTCTTTATCTGTGAACCTGTGAAATCTAGATTACAAGTTATCTGCTTCTAAAGTACAATGGTAGAACAGGCACAAGGTAGACAATTGCATTACAAATGGGAGAAATTAGAAGGAAAGAAGGGATAACAGGTAGCAAGCAAATCCAAAACCCAGCAGAACAAATTACAGTATCTCTCAAGGCTTAAAAATAATCCTCTGGTCTTTGGGACCGACAGGACAATGGCCCTGTCTTCTAGACTATGTGTGTCAATCGTGCTGTCTGGGTTCTGAGTGGAGGGCCCTTAGCCTTGGACTTTAGCTCCTCCTTCAAGACCCACTGAGACAGCAACTCTGCTCCCTTTTCTTTGGGCTTCCCCATTCTCTTAATCCATCTGAGTGGCAACCCTACTCCCTCAGCATCAGCAGGCCCTGTGCTTTTGCCTCTTGAGCATGACAGCCCTATTCCCTGACCTTTAGGTGGTGACTCCATCCTCCTGGCATTTGTGAATGGCAGCGCCACACTTCAGGATTGAGTTGGCGAATATCTAACTGAAACCTAGGAGGCTGCAGCCCCACCCTTGGAGATCCCAGACACCATGGCCCCACCCTTTGAAACCAAGAAGGCTCTGCTTCCTATATTCCTTCTAGCAGTTCTGATGTTCTCTGAGCTGCTTCACTGGTGTTCTTTTTGTTTGGAGGACAGAGATACAGCTCCTTTGTCCTGTTTCCAGACTGTAGAATTCCAATAGGCAGATAGTGTTCTTTCCTTTCATTCTTTCTCTTTCTCTTTCTTGTCTAAGCTGAGTTTTCTGCTTTGATAGTTAGTTAGATCCATCTGTCCCAGGCTTAATCTTTTTTTAAAAAGATTAAGTAGCAAAGTCCTTGGTGCACATTTCAGATCACATATCCTTAGTTGGTACAATAGAATTTTCCAAATCTGTAAGTTCTGTTTTTATCTTGCGCAGTTTATTTTTAGGTCTGTCTCTTTTCTCTCTCATTTTACAATTAGCAGCAAGGAGAAACCATGCAGCTCCTTTAAGAACTGGCTTAGAAATCCTGTTAGCCAGATAACCAAGTTCATTGCTTCGAAGTTCTGCCTTCCACTAAACTTTAAACATAATTCAGACAAATTTTTGCCACTGCTTAAAAAGCATTGCCCTTCCTCTGTTGTCCAATCACATGTTCATCATTTCCTTTTAAAGTGTCACCAGAAACACATTCAATGTCCTCATTTCTAGCAACATTCTGTTGCTGGCACCATATGTCTTTAAGATGGTAGAGAGTTTCTCTGTTATGGCTCTTCTCATTTCCTACTGAGCCCTCACTAGAATTGCCTTTGATCTCCATAATTCTAGCAACAGTCCCTTCAGGGCAATCTAGTCTTTTACTCTTGTTGTTGTTGTTATGTGCCGTCAAGTCAGCCCTGACTCATAGCGGCCCCTCCTTGGGTTTCCGAGGCAGTATCACTACGGAAGTAGGATTGCCCAA